GAAAATTCTACTACCAGTCCTTCATCACCTTACACGAAATAGGGTGAATACATCTCATTACATAGATATATTTTTCCTACATGATCAAGGCAAACACTTACCTCGTTCCAGAGGAAATGCAAATTATTTCGTCTTTTGCAGCAGTTCGTTAGTTAACAAGTATTCGAAATGTATCTGAAATTTAACGTAATATATTCATTTATTAAATAAATAAATAAATATATAAATTTATTTATTTTTGAAGTGCAATTATATCATATATTAGTCACTTTCTCACCCCAACGATCTTAATAACTGACTTATATTAATACAAATATCACCCCATATCTTTTATCCTTATAATGGAAACATAAATGCCGGAGAAAAATAACTTTATAAAATATTAAATAACATCTGACTATTATTCATGGAGTATGATATCATCTGATGGACATATTTTTTAAATTGAAGTAGATTTTTCAAACAGAAAAGTATAGTCAGCAACCACATCATAGAATCCTCTTTGAGTATAGTCAAATTTGAATTCTATGGTGAGTTATTTTCTCTTATTATTGGATAGATGCATTTAAAATTATTTTTGTTATTTTTTAAGTAAAAATATTTAAATCTCAGATCGTATTTTGTTAATATCTTCTTAATTCGATCATTTAATTTGGATTAGAAGAGTCATGTGCCAATATCTGGGCCAAGGTTTGGCTGTTCACAAAATCGCATATACATGATTAGCTAGAGGTAAGCTTACTTAAATTCTTGTCAAAATATTAAAAACCCGACACTAATTATTGTCTGTTGCCAACTTTTAAATTATGTCTATTGCTATGCGCTATTCGTAGTATCTGAGAGAAGCATTTGATTTAAAATGAAAAACTGGGAGTTACCCACAAATTATATCAAACCATTTTTCGATTTCAAGCTTTACAAGCCTTATTACGAATTCACCTTAGAAAAAAGGAAGCAGATTAAAACGCTTATATCACATCTAGAAACTTCCTTAATATTTGCAAATAATTCGCATTTTGTTTCTGCTTAAGCTTATTTACTATTGAGATATGATAATAAATTATCGCATTTCTCGAGTGGCCATTATATCGCTTTTTTGTTTCCTAAATTTCTTTAAAAAAATTACATGATATTTTAAGCTCCTTGCTATTATGTCTGCCTTATTTTTAATATTTTTGTTCTTGACCATGGTTGCCCTTTTTATTCTATCTTAACTGCTGATATCTGGCACGCACCATATATGAGTTAAAAGAAAGTTACTTTTTATGACG